CCAAGCTTCCCACTCGGCACTAGTTTCATCATCTGGTTCCTTCGTGGTTCCATCAACAATTTTCATAAGTTTTTCAGCTTTTAATAGGATTGTTATGCCGAACTTCCAAAGCTGAAAGTTTGTACCATCGAATTTCGGAATGCTGCACGTATCAATTTTCACAGAACTTGCCATTTTCACAATCTTTATTTGTTTTACGACTTGAACGTAATTTCTCGGAAATAAAAATCACTCACTACTTGAACGCGATTTAAAATGACGAAAGTTAATGTTTTAGACTCGCACGTGAACTGGGACCGTAACCTATTAGATGAACCTATTGAGGTTTAATAAAACACAGTGAAATGAGTCTAACTATAATGAAAAGATACGTGACAAATTCGCGTGACAATGACAATTTCAATTTACAATGACAATACTAATAATTACAGGTTCTATAGGTAATAACTAGGTGAACAGAACTAACTAATTATAGCGGGAGAATAAAACTCAAATACTTCTTCTTAACACTTCCATCTGTGGATTTTTTTTTTTTCGATTTGCAACGAGCATTTGAAACTATAGATTCAGAAATATTTTTTTTTTTTTTTTTTTTATTTATTAAATAACAAATTACAATTTCCATATAATCTAAGGCACAAGTTAAGCTATGTACTTTGTTATTCGCTCCTAAACAGCTAACCGCTGGTAACGGAGCAAGATATAATTTGATTCAGACTACACAATATTCAGACTAATAAAACCTTAAAATTACCAAAGTTACCTATACAGTAAAAAAAAACACTTATATAAATAAAAACATTCGCAACAATTACATTTATTTGTACGTTTATTTTGGCACCAAACTAATCTAATTTAGAGTTTTTTTTTTTTTTAATTATTATTATTTTTTTTTTTTCAATTTTTGTTAAATAATAGTAGATTATACCATGAGTCAATAATGATAGCTATTATTCCCGAGGATTATTACGAACTGAGCCGCGTTAGCGGCGAGGGAGTAACATTCCGAGGGAATAATAGCCATTATTGCGAGTAGTATACTCTACTTTATTTACGACAACTTAATTTATTTGAGATTTTCAATGAACAAATTTCATCCGTCTCATAATTTTCAATACAAATCCACAAGCACTACACGTTTGACACTGACACTTTTGTGGAATAATGACCATTAATCCCGCTACTCGTCATTAATCCCTGGAGGAATAACATATGTCATTATACTGCCAAAATCACAAATATAATACGCACATTATACATTAGTCGTAAATAAATTATATATCATTGGCCTGAGAGGAAATGTGTTAAACTGGTTCCGTAATTATATGCAGGATAGAAGGCAAAAAGTGAAAATTAATGGGATTTTGTCTGAGGACATGGTGTACCACAAGGAAGTATTTTGGTCCCAATGCTTTTTGTGTTATATATTAACGATATTGTGGATATCGCAAATGTTGATATTCACTTGTTTGCGGATGATACCTTGGTCTATGCTTCAGGGGAGAGTTTGATGCTGTTAGTTGATAAAATTAATAGGTCACTACACAGAATCTACGAATACACTTGCAAAAATCTGTTAAGTATTAATGCCACGAAAAGTCAATTTATGTTAATAAGTAAGTACGGAAAGAATTAAATCCTCATTTAAATTGAACAATTTTTCTATTGAAATAGGGGGTTGTAAGATACAGCAGGTGAAAAAGATTAAGTATCTGGGTGTTATAGTTGATGAGAGATTGAATTTTAGGGACAATACGAATTTTTTTATATCCAAATTAAGTAACTCCATTAATTATCTGTCCAGGTGTTCAGGCTACCTTTCTTTCTGGTCAAAGCTTACAGTATATAACACTATTATTCTGCCTCATTTCATTTATTGTGCTACCGTTCTGTACATGCTGAGCAAGAACGAGTTGAGTAGATTACAGAAGCTTCAGAATAGGGCAATGAGATTGATATTGTGTTGCTCTAGATACACACCCATTATAATAATGCATCAGTGCTTACACTGGCTACCAGTTCTAGAATATTGTGAATTAATACAAAGTATTGTTCTTTGTTTTTAAAATTAAAATTGGCTGTGCTCCGTCTTATCTGGTAAACAAATTAGTATATAACCGTGAAAAACATTCATATAATACAAGGCAACGGAATGACTTTTTCATTGCACCTAAAAATAAAAAGATGTGGCAAAATTCAGTTTTCTTTAAAGGCTTAAACACTTTTAATTATTTGCCAGAATGCCTAAAAAAATGTACTTCACTATTGACATTTAAATCAAAACTCAAAATCTTCCTTCTGAAGAGGTGCAGGGTGTTGTCATAGTGGTCCACGGTTGCACAGGGTGTTGTCTGGTGTTGCTTGTCCCTCTTTAGTTTTTAGGATTATGTATGTAGTTATAGAATGTTTTAGTGTGTAAGTTTTATTAAGTATAGGAATATTACATATGTATTTATAGTATAGAATTATACCAATACTTAAAGATTGTAAAACCAAAATTGATTAGCTGTACTTTTTTTTGCTAAATAAAGAATTTGATAATAATAATAATAATAATTTGTAGTCCTAACTCTTGAATTTTTTCTATTTAGAGTAGTTTCTAAGAAAACTGAAACCCAAGGGATGGGAATAGACAAATATACCTTAACAAAAATTATGAATTTTATTCCAACCAGATACTTAAATGGAAATTACAAGGGGTGTTTCACCCACTAAATGTTGTACACCTACTGTATTTGACTGCATTGATTGCATGGTAGTTGATAGTTGACTGCATTGACTTTTGAGCAATTTCTAACAAGATTGCAGGCTCGACTTGCAGGGACTGTTTACGATTTTTTGCAAGGGTATTTGGAATGTACTCTACTGCATGTGACTGCACCTCGGACTTCACAGAGTTTATAATGATTGCAAGCGACTGTAGGTATTATGACTGCACACGACTGTATTATGACTGCATGAGTCTATGTATTCCATTGACTGCATGAGAATATATCATCGGTCTCATGACATAAGGCCCTATCTCGAGATAGGGCCAAAATGAGTTAGGTTCATAGATATGTTGCATTCAGTTTATACTTGTTTTTAGCCAAGGGTCTTATCTTGAAATCAGTTCAATTCATTAAAAAAGTGAGAAAACACATGGCCCTATCTTGAAATATGAACAGTTTTATTACAGCATAAAGGCGAAGCTTGAGACACAAATTTAAATTACTATTTTGAAATGTGGTATTTGACAAAAAACTTACATGGTTTGTTGTTCATAATTCCAAAAAAAAAGGACCAAAAATCGGTATGCTTCTTTGTATTCTGTTGGCGTAAAGATATTAGTTTTCTTTCAATTGCTCTCCTGAAAACTTGTGAAAAACGAGATAGGGCCTTATGTCATGACATCGACGATATGGACTGCAGAAGAATGTATGGACTGCATATACATGAATGTATTGTATGATATTTGTACACCTACTGCATGAGTGTAGCACCCCTTCGGGAAATTAATGTTTTTTCTATTCCAGGTTGAATTTTTTTTTATTTTGACAATTTCAAGAGCCAGGAAAAGACAAAAAATAAACTAGAAAAATTGAGAGAAGAAATTTGAGAGAAAAAACTAGTAGACAAATAGACTTGTTCAAACTCTTGAATTTCCTCTATTTAGAGAAATTTACAAGAAAACAGAAACTCAACAGATAGAAATAGACAAAAATTGATATAATTTCACCAATTTCAAGAGCAGGGAATAGATACAAATTTAACTGGAAAATTTGAGACATAGTGAGAAAAAATTTGGGAGAAATTGGTAGACAAGTAGACACAAACTATTTAGAGAAGAAAAAGCATCACTACTTCGTGAAGTGTAGGATGTATAATACCTCGCATAATAAGTACCGATTACTTATTATTTAAAATAAACACACCAAACAGTTACTAACGTTTTAACTAATTATAGGTTCCGTCATAATATAAGATCAATGTGTAGACTGTTCCAGTTGTATATTGATAGTGTTGATACAACTCAAAAGCCTAAACTAAGATCAACTCACATATCTAGTTGCCAAATTTAAGATACAGTTACGATTGTTAGGAATGATGCGATGTTGTCCATTAATGAGCAGTCACAAAACTCTGAGGAATCTCACACATCTTTTTTAGAACAAACTTAGTCTGGAATAACCTTACCCCAGTATTGCTCAATATTCAATCTGTTAGATCTAAGGGTGATGAACTGCTGTTATTTTTAGAATACATAGAGTTTTCATGTGTTCTTTTGGTGGAGCACTGGTTAAAGCCTAATGTACTTTTTGATATTTTAAATTATAGGGTTATATCTGCGTTTTCACGCGAGCAATATATATTCATGTTGGACAGTGATCTCGGTTCCAAATTATTATTTTTTTTTGTAATTTTGAGTTTTTATCTGTTGATCGCAATCCTGTAAATAATAAGCTATAAGTCTGATGCTCGGTCTGATGATGAATGTTATTTTCTCGGTTTTTTTATCCTGATTAATTCGTATTGTCTGTATTTGTAATTAGTAGATTACTTGGTAGATTGTGAGGAGTAAAGGTCCAAAAAAGGCACCTTATTTATACCCTCATTTTAGTTATTTACATATTTTTCATTATGAATAAATATTTTGAACAAGACATTTATAATCATTTATCTGAACAACGGAAAGAATTTTTTGTCGGTTAAAAATATCGAAACTAATTTTTCAAAGAAAATTTTTGTGGAAATTAAAATTAATTGAAAAAGTTGGAGTTAGTGCGGAATTTGAACCCGCGGAGGATCGGAGAGTTATAATATCGCACTAAATCCAACTTTTTCAATTTTCCTTTGACTTTAATTTCGACAAAAATGTCCTTTAAATTATTTATTTGTTAACAACAAAACTGGATCATCCACGATCTTACAGCCACTGAATCAACAGCCACTGAATCATTTTTTTTATTTTGGTTGTTTTTTTTTTCAAACATACCTACGTTGTTTTTTTTTTTTCACAGAACCAAAGTACAAGCCCAAAGAAAATTCGCCCAAAACTCTGGCGTTCAGAGCCCTATAATAACGCCAATAAGAGACTTGGAAACAGCAGATCTTCCTCACACGCAAGTACTACCAGAACCTGTTGAACTTTTACCCATGAAACGTCCTCACACTGAAGATTTTCTCACCTTTCTGTGTTTTCGTGGCACTCCGATTTTGCCCCCAAACCTGCAGTTCTTCAATACCGCTTCTATTGTGGCGGACGGGCAAGTGCATGAAATTAAAGGAGATTCTTCAAAAAATGGACCAATCGATATTGCTAAGTGTGCAGGAAGCTCGTCAGAAAAACCCTTTATTGCTTTTGGTGTTAGGAAAAGGGCAGATCCTATTGTTATTAGCCGACAGATGGACAGGAAGCGAAGACACGCTTTGGCAATCCAAGCATTGAGGAGAAAATACCAAGAACAAAAAATGGCTAAGATAAGAGCACTTACTATTAGTAAGTTGAGTGAAAAGACTACAAATAGAACTTTAGTTAAGACTAATACAATACAGAAAACTGAAACGGTCACTAAAAAAAGCAATACCCTTCACAAGACCAAAGTAATTGCTACAAAACATGTAAAAGTAACCACAGAAACTCTTAAAACAAAAGTGAAACCACGAATGTGTCTGAGAAGTTTCAGAGGTAAATTTGTACAAAAAGAATTACCTTTTAGAGCAAGAAGGCCAGAACAAGAAATTATAAGACCTAATTTAAAAAAAATGGCCAGGACAAGTAGGAACAGTAATAAAGCAGAAGAGACCTCAACAACAACTCAGAAGACTGTAAGAAAATTGCCCAAACTTAGTAGTAAACCTACTTTAGAAACTCCAAGGATTGTTGCTACATCTGTTTTAAAACGTCAGCATCTAAAACGTAGAATTTTGTTACCAAATATTGTTGCTACTATAGTTAAACCAAAATTGAGGTCTACAACTGTGAAAAAATCTGTTTTATCGATGAAAAAGGCTCAACAACGTGTTAGGACAACTATAGGCAAAAATAATCAAGAAATATCTGTCAGATGTCCAACTGATTCAGGTAAAAAGGAGAACAATAAAAAGGCCTCCCAAGAGAAATTGAAGGAAAATGATTCGAAATCTGAGCCTCAGACTCTTCCACAAGAGCTTTCTAAGAGGCTTACCAGAAAAAATTCCGAATTATCAACTAAAATTGAAGAAAAATTGGCAAATAAAAATGAAAACAAAAAGGAGGTGACCAAAAACTTTGAGATGAAACGCCAAGTTAAAATTGCAGAATCTGCTGCCAAAAAGACAATTCAGAAAAGTGTCAGTTCTAAGAGGGAATTTAATCTAAAAAGCTCTAATAAAGATGTTAAGAAAAACGTAACTGTTCAAAAAAATACAGATTCACTATTGGAGAAAAATGAATCTGGGCAAAAAGTAACGAGGGATGTTAAAACTTTGGAAATGACAGTTGAAAAAGTCACTACAAGGAAATCATCAAAAGTTGATAATGCAAAAGCAACCAAGATAAATGAAAATGACAAGAAAACTGATGATAAGGCTCCTAAGATAGCAAATAAGAATAAAAAACTTTTGAAAACGACTACTGCAACAAAATTGCCACAAAATCCTGATAAAACTAACAAAGAGAAGCCTAAAAAGGGAACGAAATGTGCCTTGAAAGGAGAATCACTTGCAAAAAACAGTTCTGAAGATAATACTTCAAAAAGGACAACTAGAGAGTCTACCAATAAGGCTAAAGCAGAAATTTTAGAGACAAAATGTCTCAGAGGCCAAATTAAAAAAGATAAAGACAATTCTAAAACTCAGATATTGGGAAAAGAAGAAAGCCAAACCAAATGTTTGCCTAAAGCAAGTGTCACAGTTAAGGATATCGATGAGGAATCTAAAGGCAAGAACAAAAAAGAAATTATTGTTGAAGCAAAGAAGCAAGAATTGATTGTCAAAGATAATAAGTCTTGCGATAATCAAGCTACTGAGCTGAAAAAGGAAAAATTAAAAGTTTTGAAAAAGGAAGATGAGCAAAAATCGGCTAAAACTGAAATAATTAATTTGGAACCTAAATTAGCAAAAGATGTTGAAAAGCTGCCATTAAAATCTGAACCATCTTGCAGTATTCCTGATCAAAAGGCTGTCAAAATGAAATTTAATAATATGGAAGAAAAATTACCAAAAGAAGTTATCACACAAAAAAAGACAATTGACTTATTGTCTAAAGATTCCATCGAAAGTCCTACTACAACTAAAAAAATTATTGTAGATGAAAGTAAGAAATGTATAACAGTAGATGCATCAAAAATCAAAGCTTCGTCGCCACATAGAAATGAACCAAATTCAACGAAAAAAGATATTTTAGTTGAATGTAAAAATTCTACAGAAGATATACCAAAGAAGCCAGATTCAATGAAAATAAATATTGCAGATGAAATTAAAATATCTGCAAAAGAAGATGTACAAATAAAGACATCTAAAGCATCTTCACCAAACAGAAAAGAACCAACTTCAATAAGAAAAGACATTGTAGTTGACAGTAAAAAATCGACAAAAGTAGAATTACCTCAAAAGTTATGCAAAACTTCTTTGCCATACAGAAAACAACCAACTTCAACAATTAAAGATATTACAGATGAACTAGAAAAATCTACAGCAGAAGATGTTCAAAAAAAGCCATCCAAAGCTTCAGAAGCCAGTCTAATAAAGAAAGACGTAATAGATGAAAGTAAAAAATCTACACAACAGGATTCACCAAAAAAGCCTCCCAAAGTTTCTTCGCCGTGCAGAAAGGAATCAATTTCGAACAAAAAAGAAGATAACCCAAAACAGCGAAAATCCGGAGGGAAAAAAGAAGAATCCGAACAAATTATCTCCTCAAGACCCAGCCGAAAAACTAAAGAAGCTGCAACCGTTTACATGGAAATTCTGAGCCACAAACTTGTAAATGATGCCACCATAGATGACGAAAATGGTTCTATAGACAGCTTTCCTGAATTGCCAAACGTCAAGAAAACTGAACAACGCGAAATCGAGCTTAAAGCTCAAGCCAAAACCTGCAAGGAAGACAGTAAGTTGATAATTGAAGCACCTGTTACACCTACAAAAACTAAACCCAGCAGCTTAGATATTACACTGGCCGAGTTGAAAAAAGTCAAAAGTCCTATAAAATTATCTCCGACGCGTGTTTTTGTGGCAACTATAATCGATAATGAAAAATCACCTAAAAAGAAACCAGAAGGAAATCCTAAAACAACCAAAAACAAACCAGAAGAAGAAGCTCCAAAAACATCATTGGGTAAACGCAAATCCAATCCAATATCTAGCTCAGATGATTCAGACAATGAAGTGTTGCAAGCAAAAATTCGTAAATCTGAAGCCCAAAAGAATTTGCAACAAGAGCAAGCTTTGAAAAACTCGGAAGATGATAAAAACACAGTCACTAAACGACAAACACGAAAAACCAATCAACCTGCTAAAGAAACCGATAGTGATCCTTCAGATGAATCATTTCATATTGACATAAAAGTGCCTAGAAAGAAAAAAGTCACTAGAAGTCGCAATAAAGCTCCAGCGAGTGTTTTGGAGAAAAACGTCGATATTATACTTGAAGCAGCAAGAGTTTTAGAAAACGAAAAGGAGGTGGAATTGAAAAAAGTGGATGACGACGACGATGATGATGATGATGATGATGATAAGCCTTTACAAGAACTGTCTATGAAAGATAACTTGTCTCAACACATATCTGAAAGGTCTGTGGCCAAAGAACCAATAGAAAGTTTGAAGCCTACAAGCAAAGATGACAAAAAAGTAAACTCAAATAAACCTGACAATAACAGTGATTCTGATGAATCAACCACTTCAGACATGAACCTGAAGAGTCTACAAATAAAGCAAAGAAACAAGAAACTTTCTAAAAACAAAAATTCTGTAAAATCAGCTGCCAGTTTTAGCGACTCAGATGAAGAACCTTTAGCAAAATTAACCTCCAAGAATTTCAATGAAAAGAAACCTGACAAACCCAAAGCAAAAAAAACAGCCGACAAAGCCCCGAGTGAAGTTATAATGGAACCGAAACCGAAACGAGAATGTACCAAAAGACCGTCTAATTATTTGGCAATGTTGTCAAGTAGTGACGAAGATGATGAACCGTACTTTCACGGTTTCAAAGCAGAAGTGGCAAAGCCTGAAGTGTTCGTGCAAGCTGTAGTGCCTTCCTTGGACCTTTTAAGCAAAGATATGGGCAGAAAAGGTAAAGTGAACATGTCCAACGAGCAAATAGAAAAATGGCTCAAAGAGTCAGCTCTAGCAGGAAGCAGCGTGGCAAAAGAAAATGATGCTATGCTAAAGTTTGGTGAAAAAATCCCCTCGGAAATTGAGACTGTTGTGGAACCTGATACAAAACCCGCAGAGTGTGAAGAAATTAAAGCCATCATAGCAGAGCCTCGGCCAGGCTGTAGTAAAGATCCAGATGAGAAACCTGCTCAAGCAGAAATTAAGTCTCCAGTAACCGATCGCAAGTGGATTTTCAAAAAGGACAAAAAAGAGTTGATGCCTAATAAAAATGCCTTTTCACCCGAAAACGAGTTGAGCGTCTATGCATTTGGTGAGGAAAACGAGGAGGTTGTTAGTACCCCTTTTAGAAGGCCTTCTAGAAGACCTTCAAGTACTGCTACTTCACGGTCAGAAGATGATTTGTCTAAAATTGAGGATTCAGCAAAGCAAGGTAGGAATTATTAGTATTATTATTTTTATGGGTTTAAGCAGCAGTAAGCGGCAAAGGTGTATTGTTATATCCTTGTTTTCACTGTTATGAGTCACATGTAATGCACAAAACTCATTCTAGCTCTCTCTCCAGATCCCGGTCAAGTCTGTTTTTGGATGCGTTCTTTGTAGGAGCACTCACTGTGCTTTCCTGAAGGGCGTTCCACTGATAGACAACCCTATTCATCAGAAAGTTCTTTCTTATAAGTTTTAAGCGTCTCTCCTTATCCAGCTTTTTAGTATGGCCTTTCTGGTTAGTATTTAGACTGAAAATGTCCAGTTGCAAATCAGGAGAATAATAGTGATTTAGGATTTTGTACGTCTCAATCCAGTCTCCTCTCTCTCATCTAGCTTTTAGGGTTATGTCGTATCTCACTAGTCTTTCTTGGTATGAGAGATTTCTGATTTTAGGGGGGAGTTTTGTCACTTTACGCTGTACTCTTTCCAAGATCTCAATGTCCTTAACCAGACCGAATGTGCGAACTCTGATATATGTTTTATATATTTTGCTAATCATAGGGATGAATCTGTCACTAAAAGCTTTCTGTGTGAAAAGAGTTTTTTCTCTTGACAACTGAAGAAATATGGGCTTTCCATTCTAGGTGATTTGAGATAATGACACCCAGATCTTTCTGCTCAGTGACAGCCTTCACGGTAGTGCCGTGCTGTAAGGTATATTTGGATTGTTGGGGCCAATGTGCAGTACAGTGCACTTGTCGGGATTGAGGTTGAATGTTAGCTGCCATTCGCTGATTCATTTCTCGAGTGTTTTCAGGTCGTCTAAAAGGTTGTGATGCTCCAAGCACGAATTGCAGTTTATTTTTGTGTCATCAGCATAAAATTATGTTTGTCCTTATAAGAGAATAAAGATCGCTGATGTATACGGTAAACAGCAGTGACCACAACACCGATCTCTGTGGCGCCCTACTAAGGGCCTTGTATTCATCACAATAATGCCTATTTGCTCTCACTTGAAAGGTTCGGTTTTGTAGAAAACTGCCTATCCATCCGAGGAGTTCAGCCCTGATTCCAAAGTGTTGCAGTTTAATATAATAACTGTATTAGCTTGATGTTGTATACTCACCTAAGTACTCTGGAAGTTAGGGGCACAATAATCCAAACTAGCAGAATCTTTTAAGACTTTATTGGTTTTTCCTACAAATTTAACCATGCCCAACAAACGCAAAACTTCAGCCTTGGATTGAGGATTTGGCATATCAATAATTGCCTCTATATATTTTTTGTTTGCTTGCACTCCATGCTTTGAAAATATATGTCCCATGAATTTAACACTTTTTTGTTTATATTGTATTTTACTTTTGTTGAACTTAATGTTATATTTGATTGCTCTTTGTAAGACTATCTTTAGGTTTTGGTCATGCTCGGCCTCCGTTGACCCTGTGACTATAAGGTCATCAAAATATAAACCAACCCCTGAAAGGTCGCCAAAAACTTCAAAATTTTTCTTTTGATACACTTCAGGAGCCGAACATATACCAAACGCCAATCTAGTAAATCTATATCGGCCAAATGGGGTCCCAAATGTCATTAAATGAGAGCTTTCTTTGTCCAACTCGATTTGCCAATACCCATCTTTCATGTCAAGCACAGTGAAATATTTTTTTTTCCGCTTAACTTCCCAGCTATTTCATCAATATAGATGGAATTAAAAAATGTTCACGTTTGATGGTCAGATTTAATTCTTCTGGATCTACACATAGTTTAGTTGGAAATTTTCCTAAACCCTCAAAAATCTGTGAATATTACTTGACAACATCGTCTAAGGTTTTAAACTTTGGCTTAGCATTTGAATCTACTCTTTTTATCAAGTTTAAACTTAGGCAATCTTGTAATCCTAACAATGGAATCTAATTTTGAGCATCTACTACTACAAATGACACTTTTTTTTAAATATCTTTGTCTGAACAACAAAGTCGAGCCTCACCCAAACCCTTAATTCTAAATTTGGAGTTTCCATATAAAATGAATGAGATGTTTGTCTTACAAATTTTTCCATCTGGCGCGATTTTTTAAAGTAGTTCTAATGGTAAAGTGCTTACCTCAGCTCCTGTGTCAAGCTTGAACATAACTGGCTTAGCATTAACATTGATCACTTTCATCCACATTGTTTCCCGACTGTCACGATTGTTTTCATGCTGATGATTATTTTTAATATCTACTGAACTCACGTAAAACTCGTTTTCACTAATGTCGGACTCACTACCACTTTCCTGATATTCTTCCTTCAACTTTGCCACTTCATGAACTTTTTTCTTTATTTTGTTTTCTTTTCTTCTTCTTAACGCTCCACTTTGATCATCTTTTTCCTTTTTACCGCTATTTTCCTGGAAACAAACACTTGCAAAGTGATTTCGTCCTTCATACTTTGCACAGGTCTTTTCCCAAGCCGGACAACTACGAGCTACGTGCAAATATCCACAAAAGCGACACTTTTGTTTATTCTCTAACTTGTTTTTACAAGCTTTAACTTCGCTAACTGATGCTTCGTTTTGTAAGATTTTGGATTGAACCTTACTTATTTCGATTGCCCTGCAAATCTCTACAGCTTCTTGCAAGTTTAACTGACCTTCTCTTAAGTTTTTCCTGTGTATTTTATTGTTAATTTCCATGACAATCCTATCCCTGCCTTCTCATAGTCTAGGTACAGTACATCCACCGGTAGGTTGGTTGTGGTTGTGGTTGAGCCTTGGGGGAGAAAACCATGTTGGGATTGTTGGGTGGGTAGGATGGTCTTGTTTTTTACAAGAAAAGGTGTCATTTCCTGAACTATTATGTTTTCCATAATCTTACAGAGGTTACGGGTAAGGCTAATTGGTCTGTAATTTCCAGGGTTGAGCTTGTCTCCTTTTTTGTAGATTGGCACTATGTATGCTCGAAACCATCCCTGTGACAGTTTGCTGTATGATAAGAGGCTGGTTATCACTGGAGCCAACGTCCTTTGGCAATTTATTGAAAATATTGCCGGTATTTCATCTGGGCCTAGACTAGATTCTCTTTTCAGATTAGAGATTGCTTGAATAACCTTTTCCAGTGACATCTATGATTGTTAATGATTCAATAAATCTAGTATTCTGGAATAGCGATGCAAAATTTACTAGGTGTTCTCTGGTGTATACGTACTCCACAAAGTGATCCGCGAATATGTTAGCTGTCTTTGGAATTCATACGTATAAAACTGTTTCCCATCTCTGTTGTCCAAGAGACCATTTTCGTATTCTATCCTGCCTGCCCTGATTGTGTTCTATAAGCTGTTATTTTGAGTTCTGTACAAATTGTAATTCTCTGCTGTTTTGTTCTTGGCATATTTATCCCCAAGTGTTCGTTTTTTCTCGATTGCTCTAAATATTGCATTATTTTACCATATCGTTCACAAGCTTAGGTTCATAGGCGCCGGAATTTCAAAATTACCATGGGGACTCGGGCTCCAAAAAATTACCAGAAGTAGAATTAATTATACAGACAGGACTAGACTACTACACATATAGGCTTGAATGGGACCAGTTGACAGATAACAATTTCACTGCAGGATCGCCATGCTGGATCATTGATCGTCTCTGCATAATAATAAAATTCGTACATTTTCGACAGCTCGGCTATATTCGGCTTCGGCAGCACCATTGGAGTAGCCAGGATTTTTTCTTGAGGAAAGGGGGCAAATCTCTAGGCAGAAATCCTTGAAGCTCCGCCGCAGGCGCGAAATTTTGGTCTTTTTACGGTATTTTTGGGACTTCTAATGGTGGGGGTAAGCGTGGATGAAGCCATTTTCCCAACGTTACTTTTAATATATCATAAATATCAAGGCAAAAACATATATTTTGAAAAAAAAAAATTAAAAAAACAAGAAAAAAAAATAAACCGAACCCATTTAGGAGATATTTGGGATCCCCTTTAGACCGCCATGACAAAAAAGTTCAAAACAGTATTTTTATTTTTTTTAAATTTCAAAGCATCCTAGCGAAAAAACGAAGAGTCTTCGAGAAAAACCTCAAATACAAAACTTACTTGTAGATCTCATTGAGAACTACAAAAAAGCTCATCAAAGCTACTCCTCCACGAGGCATCGTTTTTGAGAAAATCGATTTCAAAACTTGCAATACATTTTCAGAGAAAATTCAACTTTGACGCTTATAACTCGGAGACAGAAGCAACCTGGAATATCAGTAAAAAACAGTTTTGTAGGTAATTTACTGCTCTTTCGAAGGAAACCTGATTCTAGACAATCGGTTCTAAATTACCTAAGTTATAGGCGCCGTGTCGGGTCCTAAAAATTTTCTTGGATCAAAATCTTTTTTATTTTTTTTCGGGCTTACGAAGCGTCGGAGCGAAAAACACTAGGAGATATTTTCGACGTATTTTTGACTCCTCTATCCGGTAGTATTTTTTATTTTTTAAAATTCGGAAAAATAAATGCAGGGCATTTATGCACCATTACACGCCCTTTTCCAAAATTAGGAGGTAGGGGCTAAAACCCCTTCGGTAGGTCGGAGAGGGCTGAAACTTGGAATATCAACTTTTCTGGACCCCTTTCACCTATATTCCAAATTTCATCCGAATCGGCCAAAAAAAAAAATTAGTGGCCCCCAGGGGGCTTTGCTTTTCAGATAGGGGCCCCCCGTATATTTTTTTCGATAAAACTCGTACTCCATTAGATTCGTACCAAATTTCAGCTCGATGGGACCATTGGTTCGCCCTTGGCGAAAAGGGACTAGAATCGTCATCAAATGTGGGGCACACGTATTGGCTTGTGAGAGTCTTGATTTTTGTAGGGTAGGAATCCCTTCAAAAGCTCTATGCCACACTTCAAAAAAATGGTGTTCTATTGAAAATGTGGTTTTTTTTGAAATGAACTTGTTGAGACAAACGGCTCTCCGAAAGACCCTAAGTAATAAGGCATTCCTTGAAAAGCTATTACTTAAAAAAAATTGAAAAATCTCACTACGAGGTGGGTTGAAATTCAAACTTAAATTAAATGATCCAAATTTTTTTGCAATCAACAAATTATTGCCTCACGCAACTTAATTTTGTGAGATAAGGTAATGCCTGAAGGCCGATAAGGTACTTTATTTTTCCACGGCAAGGTTGTCTCGAGAAGATGGCAATTTTCAACCGATCGACCTTGCAGCTCGACGACACAATTCAAAAGGCGTCGTCCCCAAAATTTTCCTGGATCAAAATATTTTTTATTTTTTTTTTCGGGCTTACGAAGCGTCGGAGCAAAAAACACCATGAGACAATTTTGACGTATTTTTGGCTCCTCTATCCGGTAGTATTTTTCATTTTCCAAAATTCGGAAAAGTAAATGCAGGGCGTGTATGCACCATTACACGCCCTTTTCCAAAATTGAGGGGATAGGGGCTAGAACCCCTCCGGAAGGTCAGAAAGGGCTGAAACTTGGAATATCAACTTTTCTGGACCCCTTTCACCTATATTCCGAATTTTATCCGAATCCGCAAAAAAAAAATTAAGTGGCCCCCAGGGGGCTTTGCTTTTCAGATAGGGGCCCCCCGTATATTTTTTTCGATAAAACTCGTACTCCGTTAGATTCGTACCCGATTTCAGCTCGATAGGACCATCGGTTGGCCCTCAGCAAATTTTTGAAATTTTTCCCCTGATAAACTAGGTAAAAAAAGCCAGTGTATTGGTACATTCATGTGATGTTAACATACTTATCGTGAAAACAAACGGAAAGGAAATAATAATCCAACTACTTATTAAAAATACAGGTTTAAATACTACACAATAAAATAATCAAACTGTTTGTTAATGTAGGTATGGTATATTAAAAACAACGAAAACATAAAACAAACATGCAAATTTGAAATAAAAATAAAATGCATAAATAACTTGGTTCGCCACACTGTCAAGAATTTTCTATTTTCGAAAATTTATTTTCGAAAATCTGATTTTATAAAAATAAATAGTTAGGAACTCAATATTTTTGTCAGTTATCAGCAGTAAGTCCAATAAAGATGATTGGGCGCCCCAAAACCTTGTGTCTCCCGTGACTAGCTGTCCACAATTCCATTCCTTGTAGGCATCAATAAAATCCACAGCGTTAACACCATTTTCTCTCAGGTAAGACCTTGGCTAAGACTTTTCCAGACAATCTCATGGAAGTTAAAGTCTTCTCAGATAACAGCGTCTATGTTTTCCTCAGATGTTTCTTTCAGAGTGTCCAGAAGCCTTCTGTTCTGTTCCAATGTGATATGATGAGACCTGTATATACAGACCAGAGTGAGCTTTATGTCTGCTATTTTAATATTTAGCGAAACAGCGTTAATGTCTGTGGGCGCCCTGTATATTTTTAACCCATTGATCCAGATGCAGATTCCTCCTTCTCGTTGATCCCCTCGTTTATCCCTAAATATATTATATTCAGGTAGGCATATGAGTGAGCCTGAGATTCCTTTGTGAAACCATGTCTCGTTAGCCAGAATAAAAGTTGGGGTCTTTCTGAGCACGTTTGTCTGAAATGTATGGATTTTATTGTGCAGTGAGTTGACATTTGTATAGTAGAATATAACTTCAGATATTATTGGGAGTCCTTGGCCGCTGTTGGCCTCTCTGGATTTGACGATCCTTTGGATCCCATTATAATATTTGATTTTGATATTTAACTCACCCTTTGCGGTTCTATCCTCAAGTTCTCGTATAACCTTGCCTAAGTAGCCTGTTTGTGCTTTAGTTTGGTCATATTTTAAATATTTTCCTGTTCACTCTCGAATCTGATGACAACAACGCATCTACTTGCGTGTTAAAAATCACTTGGACTGACCTAACTTTTCCTGGTGTGAATTGGCCAAGCCGAAGTGTTTTAATATCCGCGAGAGGTGTATTGTACCGACTTTATATGATCTCCCACTGCCTTTATTCCCTTCCCCATCCTGCCTCTCTTATGGAGTATATTTTTAATATATACTCCTGGACAAAATTATCGCACCACTGCACATAAGCATCACCATAAGCAGTGGTGCGATAATTTTGTCCAGGAGTATATTATTGATTGTGTATTAAATTAATTTTTTCAGGTCAATTTCGTAAACCAAACCCGTCAGATTCAGAAGACTCTCGTTGTTTCAACATACCTCAAAATCCAACTAAAATCACCAAAATCAAATCAGATTCTATGGTGCCACCTTCCGCCTACCACAGCAAGAGACAAAAGTCTTGCCTGGAACCTTTCGACGATTACAAATACAAAATCCCTAGTTCGCCTAGCGCTAGCAGCGGGAGCAGTGCAAAACTATACAAAAAAGGGGCCCAGAAACAAAAAGGCAAACTGTGGGAATCGATTAATCCCGTTTACGTGTCTGATTTTCCTAAACCCACTGATCCGGCCAAGCTAGTTGAAGCCCCCGTATTTCATCCTACCGAGCAAGAATTCCAAGATCCTTTGGAATATATTGAAAGGATTAGACACAAAGCCGAGCAGTTTGGTATTTGCAAAATTATACCTCCCAATAGTTTCAAGCCTGAATGTAAAGTGTCTGATGATATGCGGTTTACAGCTTATAATCAGTATGTGCATAAAATGCTTCATAGGTGGGGCCCCAATTTTAAGGAGTTTATTGCTATTAAGAAATATTTGACTACACAAAGCATCTCATTGAAAACACCTCCATTGGTATGTATATTTTTATATTTAATTAAGCTTATGATTGAATCTGTGTGTTTTTAGATTGGAGGTATGGAAATTGATTTACCAAGATTATACCAAACTGTTCAAAGTTTGGGCGGTCTCAAAGAGGTAATCGAAAAAAAGAAATGGTCCAAAGTTTCAGATCATATGAAAATCCCAAAGTCGGCTCAAGACCGTGTCACTAAACTGGACGACATTTATTGCAAATACCTTTTGCCTTATGATACTTTGTCACCAGGTAGACAAACGTTTATTAATTATTTCAAGATAGATTCAATAATAATTCTTGTAGCTGAACGTGAAAAACTCTTTGACGAAGTTGAAACCTATTGGGCAAAAAAAGAATCTAGGAATTTGCAAATAAAAACAGATCCCAAACAAGAAAATAAGCTCGATGATTCTTCTGATCAAGACTATGATTCTGAAGATAATGATACTGAAGAATGCACAATCAAAGGCAAAAATATGGCCCTGAATGCTTTTTACAGAATCGCCAGAAATACCATGTCTATGTACTTTAAAGTGACTGAACCAACTGCATTAGAGGTATATTTTAATTTATAACAATTGAGTCATTTGTATATTATTGTATTCCTCTAGGTTGAGCAAGAATTTTGGCGCTACGTTACTCAAAAACAGAATCACATTTGTGTCCATTCCGCTTCCATTGATTGTGGTTCTTGGGGTTACGGTTTTGCGGTGTCCAAAAATAGTCCGTTTGCTAGGCACGCATGGAATTTAAAGACATTATCAAATAACAATGGATCAGTGCTTAGATCTCTTGGACCTGTAATAGGTAGATGTGTTTGTTTTATGGAAATCTAACTCAATTTAATATTGTGTGTTTTTTTTTTTAGGTGTCACAATTCCCACTCTTCATGTAGGCATGGTATTCAGTGCTTGCTGCTGGTACCGTGACCCACACGGACTACCGTGGGTCGAGTACCTGCACACTGGTGGTAATAAAATTTGGTACGGCATACCGAGCTCGTCGTGTGAAGTTTTCCATGCGGCAATGCAAAAATTAGTACCAAATTATTGTAGGGACAAAGAGTTGTGGTTGCCATCGGACACTGCTATGGTACCACCTGGTATGCTTATGGAAAATAATGTTTCTTTGTGTCGGTAAGTGACAAAAGTTTTTCGATTTTGACATCATTAATGATTCTTTAATATTTTTAGAACTATCCAAGAGCCTGGTCAGTTTATAGTGGTATTTCCCAAAGTTTACACTTCAAGTATTTGTACTGGCTATGTAGTGTCCGAAAGTGTATATTTTGCTCCCTTATATTGGCTTAGAACTGCTAGGAACTTGTTTAATGATCTGAAAACCAGTTGTGAGCCTTCAATGTTTTCTTTGGATAAATTGCTTGTCAGTATAACCAATGATCACAGGTCTAGTGTGGAAGTTTTAAGGTAATTAATTGTTTTACTGTGTCAACTATTTTTTGAGATTATTTTATTAAAGGGTGATCGTTTCCTTTATGGAAGAACTGTGTACAAATGAGAAAAAGTATAGGATACAATTGAGAAGTTTCGGAAAATTGGAAGAAGAAAGAATTACCAATACGGAACCACCTACTAAAAAGAAAAAAGTTCAAAGTGTGGATGGCGATTTTGAGTGTGAAATTTGCAGGACAAATTTATACGTGTCTATGGTAAGATTTTTATTATTTGCCAAGTCATATAGATTTCTATCCAAATTTTTATAGGTGATTGATGCCCAAGAAGATCTAATTTACTGTTTAGAAGATGCAGTCAAATTAGTAGAAGAAAACAACAAAATAATTGAGCGACTAAAGTTGAAATTCACTTTGGACGAGACTGAACTTGATGACCTTCCCAAGAAAATACATTTAATGATAGAGGGCAAATTACAGAAAAAAGTACCAAGCAAATATGCGGGGTTGCCTACAATGTTGAAGTAATTTTTTTTTATGAATCTCAAAATGTTCAAGTAAGGAGTGTAAAAACAAATTTATTAACAAAGTATACTCTACCCTGTGGACAGCATAATAAGGTTGTTCAAAATTACCAAAAATTAAATTAATATTAATTATTGTAGAAAGCATCACATAATTTTTGGACAACTTGTACAAAAGTATAGTTGGGTGTTTTATTGTAACTTAAATGTTTTTAACATTAAATTTAAATCAAGCTTTAGCTGTGATTGATGTTTAACTAGAAACTCATATGTAAAATTGACAAAATAAGTGGAAAGATTTTTTTCAGCAAGCATAATAATTGTAGGTACATATATATTTTAACGTAGTGAGTGTCGCTACCCCTTGCTTCTAAAATTTTATTTTTGTATATTTTTATATTTACCAAATTTCAAAGCCAACTTTGTACGTTTTTTAATATTATTTAGGACTAATTTTTATTGTGTAATATAGATTATTCCCGTAAGTCGTATTTTAAAAGAGTTTTTTAATGAATGTTTTTTAAAAATTGTATAGCTATGAAAATTGCTATGTCCTATTTATTGATGTAAATAAAAACGCAAGTGAGATGTATCTGATACTATATTATTATTATTAAGAGGCGAGTAAAGCAATACCACTTTGTTTTGCTTGCTTATTCTCGTCCACTCTGTTCTGACTACAGGACGGGTCCTACAGTTTAACGTGGAGCTCCCTTTACGCATGTACCCTTTTGGGACTTTACCTGTTGTTCCTCTTGGTGCAACTTACCCATTAAGGAGTGTGTTTTTAGGTCCCCTAAGATTATCCTTCTGAGAGAGCAAGTGCGGATGGTAATTCCTCGATGCTTTTGAAAAATGTTTCAAAATCGTTAAGCGGTAATAGGCATCTTCCACCTAACTATGAGTTCGGCTTTTTAAGCCTGAACGCCCTTAGAAAAATTCTCTAGCAAATCCAGAGTTGATAAAAATTCAAATTTTGACTATTACTGGATCTTGATTGGCTTCAGGAAAGTTTTCCAGAGAATCAACAGGTCGTAATGGTTCAAATTTTGATTATCTGTGGCTTTTGATCCATCGGATAATTTTTTTGGAGCAACTAAATACCGAATATCCATATTTGATGCTGTGTTGTGACTGACAAAATAGAAAGATCATGCAGTCTATGCTGACTTATGGAATTTCTCAAGTAATTATTCAATATTTTTAATTTACCAAATGACCTTTCAGCGGTGGTAACTGGAAGGAATGTACCAGTTAAGTATATTAATCAATATTGGTTATTGTGTTTCTCAATTTTATTTAAAGCATCAATTATATTCGCTCATGCACATCCATTATATGAGTTTTCTACTTTTCCTTCCTGTCTATAAATCTGGCGACAAAAATGATTTTCATATCTATCAAGACCAACCTGGGAATTCATCAGTAGTTTTTAGTATCAGCATTAGAAAAAAGGGAAAGATCGTATGTAGTGTATACATGGACGGTCAATAATGTTCATAACCTGTCTGCTTCTTATACATTTCATCACAGTTATGTGGCAAAAGTACCATGCACCAGAATCAATAGGCGATGGATCACTTTCAATAATTGCTACTTGATTTGAGAATGTATTAATGATTGGGTTATTCCGATCATTGATCCGATCTTGATATTCGGAACATGATCTCATGTTCTCATGATCTTCAACTTTTGTCCTATTGGTGGGATGCACGTCAACCTCTATGAGGCACAAAGAGTTAAAGAGTACAAGTACAGGGTGTTCCGAAATTAATGCGCCAAATTCTTATAGCATATTCTACATCGAAAATAAGCCCTAGTTTTCTATATAGACATATGTCCGGAAATGCTTCCTTTCCGAGATACAGGGTGTTGGCAAAAGGCATTTTTTGATGTGAAATTATTCAAAAAAAGTATTGCCAGTGACGTCCGTACCACATTTGTTTGGAATATTTTTTGAGTAAAAAATGGTGCGCCACTGCTTTTTCCTGAAATAAATATTATTTTTGGAATCCTCATTCAATTTGGAACAAATCTGATCTCTTCCCTTTTTTCCGAACGATGCACCGTTTTCAAGTAAAAAAAAAAAAAAAATTGATGCATGGCGAAATCGCGAAAATTTTGATAAAAATGTTGAATCTTAAACACCTCAAGTTCAAATTATTTTTGTGACGTCACTGATATTTTTTTATATTTCACATCAAAAAACATCCTTTGCTACTTGAAAGCAATAGTCAAAATTTCAATGAAATACCTAGAGTGGTTGGAAAATTATGATAGAAAAATAGTTTTTTTCTTAGAATTTCAATCTTGGAAAGAAAGCGTCTCCAGACATACGTTTATATAGGAAACTAGGGCTGATTTTCGACATAGAATATGCAAATATAAAAATTTGGTGCATTAATTTCGAAACACCCTGTATAGTCCAACAAGTGAGAGTTTACCGGCGGCAAATATGCGAACTAATATTTCTGTCACGCTTTATTCCATCGCAACTGTGTATTTCCATATCATTTTTTTCCACCACTTTCACCTTTTCTCTCAGTAGCCAAATTATATGTACAGTGTGGGCCAATTTGGACACTTTTTTTTGCACCAATGAAGCTTTCAAAGCCTCAGAGCCTCATTTTTTTTGTATCTCACTCAAAAATTGACGTTTCTTATTGAAAGTGTCCAAATTGGCCCACCCTGTGCAGTAATATGTTGGGATCACCCCTTACCATATTATCTAAATGGATAGAGTAAAAAATATCTCGAGTAAAATCAATAAACGTACGATTTTAATCAAAATATTTTATTAATTAATTGAAAAAGGATAACGTACAAAACACTGACAAATACACAACAACAAAAAAAGAGTACGATAATTATTATTACAAATATACTAAACTGCTGGACAATTGCTTCCGAACAGAAGAATAATGTTGCCTAACTTTCAAGCTTATTATTTTTGGAACCAAAACATCAATTTCTGGTTTCCATAAGTCAATCTGTTGGCCCGTGAAAACCGGAGGTCGATATTTGGTCTGGTTCCAAAAATATTCAGCTTGAAAGTTAGGCAAAATTTTTCCTCTGTTCGAAAGTAATTGTCCAGCAGTTTATTTAACGGTATTTTAGTATGTAGTAGAAAAAGCGATATACAATGGATAATAGCTATATTACAAAGATACAAAACAGCCAATAATGCAGAATCTGCTGAATATACAAATATCTCAAATAGATGTTACACCGTGTGGCCATTATTCAATTTTAGCGGCATATCTGCTTTGTCAAACAGCCAAACATTTGTTTTTGTTATTACGAACGGGCCTATCTTCTTAATAATTTATTTACAGAAAAAGTCCAATCTTTTTTTTAAAAAAAGATATGTCTCAATGTTCTAAGTATACTTTTGTGTTATAGATAAAAAAACAAGTTCTGCTACAGATAAAATGAACAGTAGAGTTTTCTTCAAAACGTTCTCCTGAAAAGTTCTTAAATCAGAGATTGGCCACTTCGTAATGACAGCGGCGATATATGTGTTGAATACGAGATAAGCAAAACGTACAAATCATAATTTATGCAACACTTTCATAAAAAGAAAATGTTATAAGACATTTGGGGTAACTTTGAAATAGTCGGATACATGAACATCTTGTATATTTATTATGTGACAGAAATAAGGCTACAAATAACAATAATTTGAGAAACGATTTTTTTTTTTAGTATAAAGTAATACAAATCTAGGATTAATTATAAATAGTACAGACTAAAACAAAAATCATTTAGCCTGTAGTTGTTAGTACAAACGGTTTCCTATAACAATAAATTCGCAATAGCGTTTATTATACAAAAAACCCTTACAACACTAGTGCCCTCTATGATTTACTTCAATGCAATGTAAATGGACAAAAAGACTAGAAAACAGGACCGAGATCCAAATTACATAAACTAATTTGCTTCAAGGCACCGGATTTTTGAAAAATTTATTTACACAGCAGGAATTTTTTGCCTGCAAAAAAAATGGGGCTCAATTGAATTATTAACCTAATCACAGTTTATACTATATTCTAAAATAACATTAATAATAATAATTAGAGATAAATTATCACAAACAAATTTCAAAATGATTATATTATAATATAGGTAGTCCATCTAGATTAGTATAAAACGTTTTAATACTATAGATTTTCCTCTAGGAAATCCAAGTATGTTTTGTCTAGTAACTTGTTAAACGGACTTTAGATTAATTATTTTTTCTTAGTCAAAAAACTTTTAAAGTCATCTACATTCAATTTTGGTGTAAGTTTCTATTAAAATCCTCAATAAGTCCTTTTGCTATTTAAAAAATGTAAGTACAAATGCAAATATCCCGTTTTGTTTCGAGAAAGCTACGAAAAATGGCAGTTTCGATTAATTTAAACCCCCATTTTCATGGTAGTTAGGTTTGGTTGATCATACATTTTACAAAAGAAAAAAAGTGTAATTTTCTCCAAAGCTTTACAAAAATATTTTTCCATGATATGTGAACTTAAAAATAAAATAACAACTTAAACTGTGCCACCGAACACAAAACATTTTCCAAATATAAAACCCAACGTCCCTAGAACGCCCTGCACAATCGGTCAAAACAATCCTTTTTCTTTTTTCAGGGCTGTCTTTTTCCATGAAGGTAGTTTTTCGAATTCTTCCTTGGACATTTCCAAAAGTGTTTCAAAGTCGGCGTCAGACAAATAGATTTCAAGTTGAGTGGGATCGACACCTTCGGGAAGAGGACGTTGAAGGATTTCATCCAGAGAGTAGGTGGTACGTGAAAGGAGTGCTAATTCTCTTTGGAGGTTTAATTTGTCATCTTGATTTTTACCATCCTGATATAAGAAATCAATTATTAAATTTTGTGCATTGCAATAACATGCAAAACAAATCACATACCTGCAGATTTAGTTCCCTAACATCTTCCCGGACTTCCCACATGGGAAACAAATTTCTGAACTCCAAAGGTTCCAGTCCCGCCCAAACCAAATGCCCCACCAAAGGTTCGTCCTCGTCATGGATTTTTTTCCAATAGTTTACAGCTGTTTGCATAGCCGCTCTACGCTCCGCTTGCCATCTGAGATGAAATTCAATTTTAGGAAAAATAAATATTATTTTCAGATAAGTTACCTGATAGCTCCTGATCCAGTCTGATCGGTATTCAGTTCGCTATCTTCATCGTTTTCGGGCCACCAACCTTGCCACAGCCACAGTTCGTGATTGTTATCGAAGAGGAGCAAACCTAATGCAAGAACAAACATTATATTTCCAGTGTTGACGCAACATTATTTATAAATTTGGTTTCTTCTCATTCTTATTAAAGAATTACTTAAATGTCAATTTCGCGTAAAACACACAAGAGTGTATTTTCTACGACCCTGCGCAGAAGCAGATAGCCGTTGAAGATTTGGATTTAAACACTAGATAAATGGTGGTTCATATGCACGTTGCATTTTTACCGGTTCCGTGTTTTACGCTCGAAAAGTCTATGTCTTGTGCCGTTAAAAAGGGACCTTGAGTGCCTTAAGTCGATGGTGATAAGTTGGTGGTTGTGGAGAACCGTTTTCCAGGGGATCCCCGTATATACGCACAGCTTATAAGAAAACCCAGGTGAGTGGCAATAACTTTTGTGTGTTTCGACAACCCTATGGAATCATTTTCATTTCCATTTCAATTTGTTTGCGCGATTTTCCAGTCTCAGTCCAGTTTACTAAATTTCAAGTACTATAGGGCATGTCCATGTGACGTCAGTAATGAGTTTTGACAGTCGCCCTGAGGTAAAACAAATAATTTATTTACATTGGTGTAGATTAGGCCGGTTATGTTTTATGCGGTTTTCACAGCTTTTTTACGAGTTTTTGTGTTATTTTGTTTTAAAAAAGTTAAAGTAAAGTGTTTATGTTCCAGTCGGTCTTTTATCCAGAAGTTTGCTAGGTTTTTCTATAATGGAATAAATTCAGGCTTTTTCCAAAAAATATCAAAACCAAGTGTCACAAGAACAAATATATAAGTATAATTACTCTATATTCGATCTATTTTTCAGTCAGATCTTCTCTTTTAACAACATTAATCAATTTTTCCCTTCTTTCTTGAGCTAACAAATCAAACCTCTCATTGTTATTTAAAATTGATGGAAACCTATGGAATCCCTTGCGCTATACTGCCACAATTAACAACTAAACAAACTCTAGGCATGTCCAAGAAACTTCTGGATCACACAAAAGGTATTTATTTGAAAAAATCTAACTAAAAACTTAAAAAACACTGTAAATTATATCTTTGTTTTACCTCAAGGCGACTGTCAATAGTGTCAAACTGTCAAATCGTGTACTTGCCCTATTGCATAAACATCCAGTAAACGGCCTTTTGACACTGACATAACTATCATAGGACAGAAACTGGGGGGCCCCGCAGGGGCCCCTTATTTGTTATAAGTTCCTATTTAATTGTTTTTGAATGTCTGAAAATTATAGTCCAAATTTATAATAAAACGTTTATCGCTGACAACCTAAGGTTGTCGACCATATCTGTCTCAGAGGGCCCTAAAATATCCTTAATTTTTTTGATTTTGTATGCTTCTGGGCAATCCCCATTCTCAAGATGGAGTTAGGGGAAAAATTGCGAAAAGCCCATAGAGACACAAAGTAGTAATAAATAAGTAAACACAGGGACGTAGCGAAGGCCTCTATATCCTGTTCACAATCCGATGTCCACAGGTGCAGGTAAATTTATCACCTTTTCCTATCAAATAGCATTGAAAGGTGATAAATTTTACCTGTACCTGTGGACATCGGATTGTGAACGGATAATAGTTTGGGGGGGGGGGGGGGGGTGACATTCCTAATATTCCCAACTTTATTAAAATATAAAAAAAATCATATATAGCATCGTAAACGTGTTAAGAAGTAAAACTTCTAAAAAAATATTCCCTCCCTCATACAACTTTAGCTTATATGTCAGGGTATAAAAACGAAAGGCCACACAAAAGTCAGACGCGCATCTGTAGTGAGGTCACAAGGGTATCGGCGCTTGGCAATGATAGGCAATCCTCTTTGCTTGTAATCCTTGGTTTGTGTCAATCGTTCGTGGCTGTCATTCTCATTATGGCTGCCTTCCTCCGTCTCTCTACGTTATATATTTCTTCTCTCTCATCTCTCGTGTACCGGAAGGACCCCGCTATATTTAAACGGAAATTGGTTACCCGTGATATTTGGATAAAATTCAAATATGTTAGGTGGGTTCGGCTTGCTCACTCCGTGCACTCCGAGTGACTCGATTCGCACTCCAGCCGTTCGGGTATTGCGTATTAGGGGTGACTCCATTAGCTCTGTTCACTCCACTTCAACTCCGAGCTGAATAGCCGATCCCAGCTGTTATTGGAAATGCCGTCTGCAACATTTTTTACCATAGGCACAACCTTGTATATATGAAAGGTGAGGCGGTATCAGCTGTCAAATATTCGAATCTAATATTCATAAGCAGAGTAAGTTGGCAGATTTTGATGAAGCAAGTATCGATTCCTAATAAGTCGATCAAGGAAAATCGAAAAATGTCAACCATTTTGACATCTGTCGAAATCCTGTCAAACGGCAGCACTCATATTTTTCAGTTTTCAATATTTCATGATGTGTCATTTGACAGTTTCATTCTATGTAAATTCTGAGTTCAAAAATTGGAAAAAAAACTTACAGAACTGTCAAAACCTGTCATTTGTTTTAGTAGAAAAAAAATTCCAATTTGGGTCTTTTTCATTTGAAGGTAGTTTATTAGTGATAAAACATTAAACAAAGCTCATAGACATCAAATTGTGACAGCTGTCAGAATCTGACATTAGCTTTAATTGTACGGAACCAAAGACGGAACTATAATTCTGTCCCAATTATTTTGGATTTTGACAGCTATCAAAATTTGATGTCAAAATTAAATAAAGAACCGCATAACTCGTGCCTATTTACTTATTCATTGAAAAACTATAGTATTCTACACACGGGTAATGGATATTACTCACTCGGATGATTACACTACTCGCCTGCGGCTCGTAGTGCAAACTTTATCCTTCGTGAGTAATAGCCATCATTACCCGCTCGATGAATTATATAGTTTTTTTTATTGATAACCTATTTCACTTATTTACTCGTCAGCGTGTTTAAATCCAACATTCAAAAACGCGCGTGTTTTAAAGTTACCAATGACAACATCAACAACCAACAACCCGAGAAAGGTTTAAATGTCAATTTTTTAATTATTGATTTGTCAGCTGTAGGTTAGGTACTTGTAGATAACGTCAAATAAAATGTAACAAATGTCAAGCACGAATTTGGCATTCTACAATTATTAGTAATTTATGATTTGAACGTATACCAATAAAAAAAAATTGTGTAAAATATTCGTGGATAACTGGTCTTTAAAACACTTATACTTTAATATACTAATTAAATTTTCATATATTTTAATAAATCAATGTCTTTTTCTAATTTTACTGTATTGGCAAATTAAACAAGGCATTTTTGTACATGAGAAAACACAGACTATTCATCAATACAAAAAATTCTTACCTGGTTGACTAGAAGTATAAAGATCTGATTGCACAAAAGGATAGGGACTAGAATGATCGCTCCTGTGAGGACACAACAGTTCAGTAGCAATAAAGTTCCCTGTGATGCTGGACATTTTAAATAGTCTGGGAGTAAACTCAAAGTTTTTGTCATTGTCCACTAAAGAATAATACGAACTCCGGTTGCTACCAACAGCATCCAAAAAACTTCCATTTTCTCGTCCTTCTTTCACCTCAACAATTTCCAAGTCGGAATTGTCAAACAACAGCTCGTCAGGATTATTTTTCAGTATTTTATTAGTCACATCTTTGACGACTTTTTGTTTTTGTTTGCTCGCCTTGCAGCCGTGCCAAATAATCACCTCCTTTCCATTAAAAAGCACAAAAGAAGAGCGGCTCCGTAAACTGGCCATTTCTAAAGGAACTTCCATTAAATATGCCTCCTCTTCCATTTCGCCTCTGGCCATAAACAATCGAGGCTTGCCGCTTTGGCTTACTTCGTCGCGTTTACCTTGATGAATAACCATCGAGCCATTGAAAAGCCTTAGAAAAGCTGCAGGTTCGGATCCTTGTACTATACGGACTTGCGGTGCATTTTGCTGGTCCAATTCAACAGTTAAAAATGCAGCAGTGCATTTTTCTGTTATTGAAGACTTGCTTCCATGCCAACAAAAGAAAATACTTGTATCTCTGCCCACTTGTAAATGTTTTGATGGTTTGCCGTTTAGTTCTCTGCCTTTTACTGTTTGTCTGAATCGCCAGGAGTAAATATAACTGTCTCCATCATAAAATTGACCTAAATGAAAGTATTAGTTTTGTAAAATAAATAGGTAATTATTATAATATTTACCAATAGACTTTTCTCCTAATTCCTTGTGCGTATTCTCCAAAATTCTCCAAGCCTTTAGTTCTAAAGTGTCATACTCAAACAGCCGCCGCGTTTCTTCGTCAAAATATTGATCGCCTCGTCCCAAATGAATATTTTGGACAACCAAATCAGGATTGCAAGATTTTTGTTTCAACATTTCGTCCACATTGCAGGGCTTGATTTCAATTGAACCCTTACCACGTTTTAACCCTAAAAAGGAATGTTTCTTATTTGAATACCAAATAATAGTTTATTTATCTTACCTTCGTCACTATTTCTGACTCTTATAACTCTAGAAAAATCAGGCCAATCCAAGAATTTTTCTCTGAATAGCACTGTTTCTCTGTGCTGAGTAATTTTGGCAAACAAGGCCCATGTTGGTCTTTTATCGGCAATCAATGGCAAATCTTTAGCTTTTCTTTCACCTAAAGCCTCTACTACATTTAAAGGATTTACGCTGCAGTCGCTATAGTTATACCCTTCGTCCCACATTTCTTTAGCTAACTTCAAGGCCAGCCTCTTTTTGTCCAATGGAGCATTTTTGCCACTCCACACATACATTTCTGAACCAAAATCGAAGACAATCACGTTTGTTTCGTTAAGCATTTCGATTTTAGGCAAGGTACCCCAATAGGGATCGTAGGGTATCAACTCATTATCATCTACAGTATAAATCATGTTAGTTGTTAAAATATTCGACTCGTAAGTCTCGTCTTCATTAGGATGTCCAGCTCCAATAGTGTCTGGAACATTTGGAGCACCTAAAAGTTTCCAAAAAACTTCCAGTTGCCTCTTGGCTACATCTTTACCAGCAACATTGATAACTTTAGAAACTTTACAACCCATATCGCTGCATTTTTGTATATGATTTGCCACGTCGACCGCTCTGCTTTGCTCTATCACATTGGAAAAAGCTCCAGTATAATTATACAAAACAGTTGGAGTTATTAAAATGTAGCAATCGCCTTCGTTAATGCTACTAGCCACTGGTTCCACTAAACGCGTTTGAATGTGGCGACGGCCTTTGATTTGTAGAAGCATCAAATCGCTCCAGGGCTGAAGTAAAGTGGGGCCGGAGTTCTTTTTCAAGGCTACTGATTTAAAGTCCTCGTTGCTCGCTAGACCCGCTAGTGCTTCGAGGGCTTTATTTGAATTTTGGGCAACTAAAATGAATCAATGAGTTATAGGTATTTAATTATGTTATTTAAGCTCACGTTTTTCTATATTCAGTCTTTTCTTCTCTCTCTCTGCTACCCCAGTAATTACCTCGGTGTATTCGTTAACAATATCTGTTCTGTCAGCCAATGCTTTGATGGGATTTTTGGTAGCAACTCTTCTTCGACGGACCTAAAATACATTTTGTTATTATTATATGATAATATGAAGCAACTAAATATCAGTTAAATGGAAAAACACTCACCTGTACATTTTTCCTAAACGTCAACAACGATTGCCTCTCAACAGCATCGAAATCTTCCGGATTCACTTCCAATCTTTCATTGGTACTTTTCGATTGTTCCACACTTTCAAAAAAACTGGTAAAAGTGTAGTCATCGGGTTTCAGGATTGGAACCATACGGCTTTGAACTTTAGTTGGCGTTACTTCTGGATAAAAGATGTAAATTTTACTTTAGAAGAGGTTTTATTTTGTTAAAAAATTACTCACCAGGTGTTTGCTTAGAAGCAATAGGAGATATGGCAGATTTACTTCTAGTGAGATCAAAATGTGCATTTTTCTCGGGCGAAGATGGCGTGGACGATGAATCTGTAACAATTTTTTTCTCATGCATTATTGCCAATTAATATTCACCATAATCGAAAAACCCACTCAAAAATTTCATTACTTAGAACAAGTACATATTACATAATTTATTAAACTTGAAAGATCTTATCTAGTTAATTCATATCTATGATTGTTATTACATGAATCATCTTATTATTGTTTACCTTCCTTTCCCTTGTATCTTTTGGCAGGTGGTACTTTCTTAGTCTTATCAGCCGAAGGTATATTGATAGTAGGGACAGCGTCCCGGATCTTTTCGCCCATTTTCCCAGCCACAGAGAATTTTTCGGCATCGCTCTTTTCCACGCGAGCTTTCCATTGTTTGGCAGCAGCGTCTAGTTCGTCTTTTTTCGATGACAATAGGGTCTTTTCAGATAATTCGTCCTGAAAACAAAGAATATGAAATATTAGCCCGTATATATTTTCCATTTTCTATTGATATCGTTATCTAATTGGGTCATAGTATGTATATAGGAAAGTAGGGGCTTGATAATTTATTACTTCCGCAGTGTTGGTGAAAGTCAATAATCTTACATTATTCCAAACAAAGTGCCAAATCACCCAAATAAAAATTACCACTATCACAAACCACATTACTGTTATAGCAGAAAAATCACAATTTTATTTAAAATAAACTCATACATCAGGTGCACTTTCTACACAACGTCAAAATTATTTGGCTTTCGTACCACACCGAGACTGACTAACTTGAATGATATTCGTTTTTGATTAGGAACGCATGGATGCTATCATCAACACGATTTTTTACAGCTATACCCACTCGGTTTAGTATTTATTATTATTAATGGTTTGTGTGGTATTTTATTATTGTAAATATTCTCTTCCTGATATAGACCGATAAGGAAGTACATTATTGTGTCTTTTATTAATGTTCTAAAGCTAAAGAGAGACGAACTACCTAAAACGTTTTGAAGAAATGGTCAAATGGTGTTTTACCCAAGAGAAATCTCAGTTTACTTTAACCTGTGGTTAAAATAATTATGTAAAAATCCAATGGACAAGCTCTATTAAATTTCCCGAACATTTCACGCTCGACAGACAAGGATTCCCCAATAATTATTTGCCCATTAAAGCCTCACCTAGATGACATTTGATTACGGTACATCAAGGACACCGCTCTGTCCATTATAATCGCCGGCATGGGTAATTTGGAAAATGTAGGTTCAAGGCGAAAACGCCCCTGCGATTTATATGGCTAATGGAAAAGATTGGATAATGGAATCGTGTGTTGTGCGCAATTTTTCCCATTTACAAAAAAAAAAAAACATGATCCTGCCCATTTTGGATCTTCTGACAATTAACATTCTTCAAGTACCTACTACATAAGAAAGGATTTTGATTCTATTTTGCTCATATCTTCAAAATCATAGAAAGTATAGTTTTAAAAAGCGGAATTATTATTTTCAAGCTATGTCGGAGGATGGGAATCCCCTGTTTCACATCAGACCAGGGCCCGTATTCTCGAAACAGGGGAGCAGCATTCTCATGAGAATGAAGGTTCTGTCTTGGTCACCCATTTTGTTATTTCCATAATACTGCTTTGTCAGTATTATCTTTACAGAGCAATCGCTTTCTTAGAGGTTTTAAAAGGGTTTACAATAGGGCCATTAAACAAGCAAATAAACAAGCTAACGATAACTTAATAGCAACTTCAAAAAGTCCTATCAGGACAATGTCATCATCATCATTTTAACAGTCATAGAGAAAATTTCAATAAATCTGAGTTGCTAATACCTAGCATAAACCCTGAAAATTTCAATTCTTCAGCTTATCAAGAACATAAGAAATATTATCTTGGTACCATTGATAAAGATGATAAACCTATGCTTTAGAGAGAATACATTTCCTAAGTCACTCAAGAGTTCTGTTATTACTCTGATTTTCATAAAAGGGGACAGGAATGACATTTCTAACTATCGTCCCATCTCCTTGTTGCCAATTTTGTCAAAGGTAATTGAAAGGTAGTGCATAGCATGCAGGATTACTGACTTCTTTGAGAGCAACAGCTTGTTTACTGATAGCCAGTTTGGGTTTAGAGGGGAAAAAGGCACAGTTCTTGCAGCCCTCAATCTTCTCTAGAACATAATGGATGCTTTTGAGAAACGTGAACACCTCTTAGCATATTTCTATCATCTGAGCAAGGCTTTTGATTGTGTTTCGTGTGATGTCCTACTGAAGAAATTAAAGGTCAACAATTTCTCAGAGGGCGCCATACAACTACTGGAATCGTATCTGAGTGAACGCACGCAAATGGTAAGGGTGGAGGGAGTGTCGTCTTCTGAGGGTTTCTTAAGGGTAGGTGTACCACAGGACTCCGTTTCAGGACCTATTATTTTCCTCAGCTTTATAAAAATGACCTACCAATGAGTGAACTAGCGAGATACATACTTTTTGCAGATGACACTACTCTCACTATTCAAGATAATAATCTAAGTGGCTTGGAGTGGAGGTCGCGTGAGGCACGATTGGAGGCCGAAAGTTGGTTTAACGCCAACAGGCTTATGCTAAATGGGGATAAAACTCAAACAATGCTGTTTTCAATGCGAGATACTCAGGATTTCACAAATCCACCTGAAGTGAAGTTTTTGGGATTATATCTTAATCCAAAACTCACATGGGATGTGCATACAGATAATATGTCAGGAAGGCTGAGGAGCAGTGTTTTCTTGCTGAAGAATCTTTGTGACTGTGTATCTCAGGACACAGTGCTGAGTGCTTATTATGGCATGTTTCACTCTGTCATGACATGGGATTCTAGCATGGGGTGGAGCCTCTTCTGCAGCCCGAATCTTTGGGCTGCAACGTAAGGCTATTAGAATTTTGGCGGGTGTGGGGTTTAGGGATGACTGTAGGCCTGCGCTTATGGAACTCAACATACCTACTCCTCCATCAGCTTATTTTATGGAATGCGTGCTGTATGTCAAAAGGTTTGAACACAAATTCTTGACTCATAGTGATATCCACGACTATAAAACCAGACACTTTAGCAATATTGTGTTGTCTCATTGCCGATTGTCAAAGTGCCAGGGTCGCCTGGAGTTTATGGCTATTTAATAAATTAAAGATAGACATAAAAAAAAATTGCCCATTAACCTACCTATTTAAAGAGACAGTTAAAAAACTAGTATGCTCCAAGGCTTTTTACAGTATACCTACAGGAGTTCCTCCAACACTAGTCATTTTGTTTGAAATGTGTTGTATGTGTATTGTATATGTCTCAATTTTAAACTGTTTATATCTGAATTTTAGACTATCTGTATGAATCTCAATTTGTATTTGTTTATTCTCTTGTTTTCTATTTTAATTTGATAGATGAACAAAAGTAATGGCTAGTTCAGCTACTGACCTATGCTATAGCCTTGAGATTATTATTTTATCATATTGTTGACTTGTGTAAATGCTTTGTGTATATTGACATCAATAAATCACTTTACTTTACTCTTGAGAACGCTATTTTCCAGTTGCGAGAATAGACCTACAGCCCTGTTCACCCACTCAGTATAGAGCCAGTATTGCCTGAAGTACAAAAAAAGAAGTATACTTCAATATAAATAAGTGAATTGAGTGAGTTCACTCATATTCTGGTCAGCAGCTGATGAATGAAATTGTATAGGATTAACTCATTACCTACTTCTTAAACTCTCAACAACAGGTTATTAATGAGTGAAATATTGAAATACTGTAATTTAAAAATGGCAAGTAGGTATTTATCTAGGATTCTATAGCCTGGAATAGACAAAAATTCAGAAATAAAGAAAAAAATTTAGGAAAAAACACCCTTTTTACTTTTCATTCAAAATTTTTGTATTTCCAATATCTTTTTATTCCAGGCTCTTGATTTTCTTTTCGATTTTGGACTTTTTCATTCCAGACTGAATTGTATTGTATTTTCCTACGTTTTCGTTTAGAAAAAAAAACAAAAATTCGAGGGCCTGGAATAGACAAAAATTGAAAAAATGAGAAAAACATTTTAAGGAAAAATTAGCAAAAACCAGGATTGGCATACACAAAAACCCAGTTGGTTTTTGACACAGAAACCCACCATCAATATTGATAAAAAAAAACCAGCCAGATTTGGGCTTTTTGTGTCAAAAACCAAAAACCTTACGGAATTTTTTGCGCATTAACCACATCTTACTAGGTATGATCCAATTTTGTTTTTTGTTTGTGTTGTGTTGTGTAGTGTAGTATTCTTGAGTTATGTTTGCTAGAGAAATTATTTACCCAGTTCATATAAGGATTCCATTCTTCTATGAAGATTGGGTCTATCGGTATCTTGATATGGATTTTTTTTTGACATTTTACATTTCTATGTCCACTTAACATTTACAAAGAATAATGAAATCCAAGGAATTTAATGGAAAATTGAATACAGCCAAAGATTATCAACAATATACCGACTAACTAATAAAATTCCAAAACAGTTCTTAGACCTCACTTTCTTTGTTCGCTTTTTATCCAATATTCAATCATTTCACTTGTTGGTATTTGATAAACAGAGATAGAAAACAGGGTAACCATCTCAGGAAGATAGTTACCTATTATGGTATGATAAACGTCATTGTAAGGATTGGTTAGTTAAGAAAATGTGGTATGAGGTAACCCTGAGTTAAAGAAAATATGGTATGATGTAACTACAAGTGAAAATATTATGTGGTTACAGCGCGAAAAAATCCCTCTTCTAATAAAGAAATAATTACTAAAATTAAAGGGAATTACGGATTTTCATAACTCCCGCTTTTACCTTGAATGGGTAAAACTTTGACAAGAAATGGTTTATTCCTTTATAAAAATTGACAAAATACAGTAAATTCAGTAGGACATAAAATTTTCTAAGTATTACGGAAATTATCAGGTGTTGATACCCACAGGCAATTGGTGCAAACTTTGCCCTGGGGTATTAACACCCTCATAATTCCCTTGATACATAAATAACAATAATTGACAGGTTTGTAAGGAATTTAATTTTCTTTAACTTGAGTTTAATTACGTTAAAATGAAAATTAACAGAGCTATGAAACAAAAACTGGCTCAGTGTAATTTTTGGAAAATTTTCAATGTTCGATAATTTCAATTGAAACCAAATTGACATCTTAATTAACAGGTTTGTAGACAATTCAATTGGCTTTAATTAGAACTTAATTACACTGAAATAGGATGAAAATTAGACCGAAGACACAATAACAAATACAAAGTACAAATGACAACAGACAAAAATATAATAACATGTGTATCAATGCTGTAACGCAGAATAAATGGATACAGGATACAACTTACTTGCCACGCCAAGATACAAAATTTCGATTTTTTGGAATTTTGTATCTGTCACTTGTACCTTGTATTTGTCATTGTGTCTTCAGCCTTAACAAAGCTGTGAGGTAAAAATTGTCTCAATGTAATTTTTGTCAAATTTTCATTGTTCGATAATTTCAATTTTGAAGCTTCTCAGCTGCAAAACTGATTTAAAACCATTGAAACCAAATTAAAATCTTTATTAACAGGTTTGCAGAGAATCCAATTGGCTTTAATTAGAACTTAATCGCGTTAAAATTGGTTGGAAATTAAAGGAGCTGTGAGACAAAAACTGTATCAGTGTCATTTTTGGAAAATTTTCAATGTTCGGTAACTTCAATTTTGAAGTTTCTCAGGTGCAAAATTGTTGAAACCAAATTCAAATTTTAATTAAAAGGTTTGTAGAGAATTTAATAGGATTCAATTAGAGCTGGATTACATTGAAGTCGGATAAAAATTACCGAAGCTGTGAGGCAAAAACTGTCTCACTGTAATTTTTGTCAAATTTTCAATGTTCAATAATTTCAATTTTGAGGCTTTTCAGGTGCAAAACTGTTGGAAACAAATAAACTTTGTCTAGTTAGGTAAACACAAAATCCCTACAAAAACAAATTAACCCACAAAAATTCAAAAAACCAATAGAAATTCTCGAAAACCACGGTTTTTGCAAACCCTGTGTATAAACTTTAGTAGGTAATATTGGTTTCTGAAAGACGTAATTTTTGGTCTTTTCTGATTTTTAATCCAATTCAATTGTACTTTGTGTGATGTTAGTTCCTGAATGTTAAGATACGATACATTACAGTTGATCCCAATTGCTATGTCTTATAGTCCAGGAGGTGGCGCCAAAAACATGCAAGAGTTTTCGTAAGGCGGATATTTTCAAAATAGGTCGTACTTTAGTGCTAGAATGCTAGTGTACAGTCAGCACTCACAGTTCCGGGATAGCTGGCTCTGGGACGCGGGCAAAGTTGTAATTTTAAGAAGCATATAAACTGTTTTCTCAAAGCTCAAAATTTATAGAAATTTTGCACATTATCTGTTTGAAGGTCATAGATAACGTATGTAAATCGTCAGACGTCTAGTTCGTTGCAAAAAGGGGGTCAGACGTCCTCAAAGTTTTTATTTTATGGCATTTTCTTCAAATATATTTGTCAAATAAGAGATTTAGTGGAAATACGTGGAGATCCAAGAACTTCGGCTGTAATCATGTAGAATCGAAATCTTAACTGGTAACGTGGTTATTAATATACAGGGTGTCCCACGGTGGATGGCGTATTAGACGTTTATGGAGAACTAAAAAGCGGATCATTTTGAAAATTTGGCAACCGGGATAAACGACCATACTCTACACTTTAAAAATATTTTTGTTTATGCGGTGTTGCCGCTTCTACTCTAAACTAGTGGCAACATCGCTATTTTAAATGGAACACCCTGTATGTGATTGCATATTTCGATTCTACGTAAAATTCTGAGCAGATTTCATGTTATATACCCTATACCTAAGTTCAACTGTTTTGGAAATAATGATAGTTCAAAATTGACTTTTTGCAACTTTGACAGGCTGTAAAACCCGAACGTTTAATTTTAGAGGAAAACCGATTTTACATTCCTATCTTATATTTTTATAAACTATAATTTGACACCAACTTTGAATTTAATCCATGATTAAATATTCCAATTAAATTTAATCTCCGGTTAAATTCAGAGTTCGTGTCAAATGATAGTTTATGAAAATCTAAGATAGGAATGTTAAATCGGTGTTCCTCTAAAATTAACCGTTTAGGTTTTAAAACCTGTCAAAGTTGCAAAACTCAATTTTCAACTGTCAATATTTCCGAAATAGTTGAACTTAGGTATAGGGTATATCACATGAAATCTGTTCAGAATTTTACGTAGAATCCAAATATGCAATCACATACAGGGTGTTCCATTTAAAATAGCGATGTTGCCACTGATTAAGAGTAGAAGCAGCAACACCGCATAAACAACAATGATACGCTTTTTAGTTCTCCATAAACGTCTAATACGCCATCCACCGTGGGACACCCTGTATATGGAGGTCCGGAGAAGATACATGAAGATCCAAAGATATGACTGGAAATCCTAGAATATACCTGGGAATCCAAGAATATTCATGGAGATCTATGGAGTTCCAAGAAGTTTCTGACCTAAAAAATCGCAAGTGACTACCCCCTCTGTCTGGAGCATATCAGAGACATTCCATATCTACTCAGAACTCAGATGTTTGGACTCACAATGGAATCAATGCATTTCAGAGATGATAAAATTTTCAGTGTCACCATTTACCAATCAATATTATAGTCAAGGCCCATAAGCAGGAAATCGATCTCTATAAAGTGCAATAAGTATTTTATGTAACAATTTGAGAAACAATGATTTTAGGGTATTTCGACCCCGCTGAATACGAATTTGCCTGTTGCCAAAGCACACCTCTTATGAGAATTTGGTTTTCTGTCAAACTCAATGAAATTTTGATATGTGTTAGACCTTGACTTCCTGATAAAAAGTTCTCATGGGCCCGAACCAATCCTATGATTAGTTTTTGAGATACAGGTACTTTAATCATATTTTAGGTGAACGTGTGAGAAAATGCTCATCATGCCCCGGTGGTAGTGGATCCTGGGTCATATGGGTGGAGGCTTCACCAAGACGAGTACATTCCCATCCTTATGACCCTTGAGCCGTCCCCAAAGCCTACAGGGGTATTCTAACCTGCCTGACAACAATGTGCACAGGCAAGAAGAATGCACTGACTTGCACCAAGTTGTGCCACTGCTCCCACTAATGTCTTAACTCGTCAAAAGGGTGATTTATTATCTTTCTTGTATTATTGCTTTCAGCTTACGACACTAGAAAGACTTTTTTATTATCTTTATCACAACCCTGAAATAAACCATCATATTTGAATTTTGGAATGGTCGCTTCCTTCACTTCCTTCAGCGGCCATCTTGGAGCCCATGCACTCCAAACTTAAGGTAAGTAAATTTCAAGCATTTCTATGTACCTATCATCTAAGAAAACCCCTAAGTAGATGTTTAAATCATGCCAACGGACAAGGGAAACATAGGACAACATAGTCTTGATCACCATCTTGGCCGCCATCTTGGATACCAGTCCAAATTTGCCTTTGGCAACATGCAGATTCGTATTCAGCGAAGTCGAAATACCCTAAAGACGTTGTTTCGCCAACATGAAATGGTTCTTGCATTGTTCATTTTTGAAAACGTGCCTAGTCTATTAAGCAAAACCTCAGAAGTCACAGTGAATAATTGGACAAGAACAGATAAGCTAAATTACCGTGGAACAGCTAGAGCCCAAAATGTTGGCAGTCTCAATGAGTGCTTCTAAAATTCGTGTAGATTAGGTGGATAGGTGTTTCCACAGAAAACTTTCAATATTACGCTTTCAAATATTTTTCAACAGCTCAACATTATAGGCTGTTTAAAAGATTATTAAATTTTTTATATAACCTAGTAAAACAAATCCAGTAGCTTTTATAGAATTTTGAGTTATTAGTTATTATTTAGTCGAACATTGACTAAATATGCCTTTTTGTAACATTCTCAGAACAACAATCAGATTCACTTTGTATCTACAATATTAGTTTTGTGTGATTAATGCAATTAAAACCAACAGGCAAAAGTAGTAGAAAAATCCTCAACAATTTCTATCTTGTTGAACTTTCCCCCAATGGTTTCATGATTTATTAAGAGCATGTCAACACAACTGATAAGATGTTCCAAATTGATACCGACTTTCCAACATCGTTTGGGAAAATTGATTTTTCGTATAATAGTGGCGTCATAAAGTTTACCGTCTGCCTGTCGACCGTTATTAACTTCATTAACCGATGTTTACTTTACTCTCTACTGATTATAGGAAAAGTTAATTTATGTCTGAGGAAAAAGTGACTTAATTTAGTGTAAATTCAGAAGTAACTAAACTCAAACTTCCAAAGAGAGCAGCAAATTCCTGCTAAATATTTATAACGTCACTGCAACATCTTTTGCCAATAAAAACCGTTTCAAGTTCGCAAATTTGAATAATAGGTTCGTGACAGCCACACTGAAAAGGCAATTTCTCCTTTAATGGTAAACTCTGGTATTGACATTCGCGTCTGTTTTCAAACGCGAAAAAGGTTAATGGTTCAGTTCCGCATCGATTTAATTGCAACTTACATTATAGCGATTTCTTTCTTTTAAAAACTTGAGTTCGTCGCAGCTATTGTTATTTAGCGGCACCCTCTTCATCCATGCCTTTTCGCCACTTTCTTGAAGCTTGGCTCTTAAATCGGCTATGGAACGAGGCATCGCTCCTGCGGTGTGAGTGTGCGACCTTAAAACCAAAAGAACGTGATTAATTTGATTTTAGAATTATTATTATTCCACTTTAGAAAACCGCAACCTTTCAATGGGCGGTTTGTGACAAAATTTCTAACAAACAATCTACCTTCTAAGATTAGTAGATCCTCTTCGTGCGGTTATTTCGGAATCTTCGAAGCTGTTTGGTTCTTCGAAGCTCCTTGAATCACTGGAGGCTTCACATAATTTTGCTGATGTTGGACGTAGGAACGAGGAACTTTTACTTTTCGATAAGCAGCCCTCTAGTTGTTGTCTGAAAACAAACAAAAAATCGAATATATAAAATATTATCGATGGCCAGATTAGCCAAGGTTAACATCAAATTGGATTCTATACCAACAACTGTGCACATACACGTCATGGCACGATTTACAATTGTGTAGATATCTGATATATAATGCACTTGCCAAGCTTATTGTTACGGAATTAGATACACTTAAGGAGTAGCTCTATAGTCAATGTTATAAAACACAAAAAAGTGAGGTCGCAATTATTTAATATATGGCTAAATGAGACAGATTAAATCAATAGAAAAATTCCAGGAGAAAGAAAAGGGAAAACTATTCTAGATAATAATTATTTGGCATTTCAGAAATTTCTATGATGAGGCCTATATTTGTATTAACGATACAAAATAATTCATATAAATTATTCTGTACATACGTATATAAAACATGTAATTTGCCTGCCATCTGTTGCAAATATTTTCTAACTGCAGCAATTTTAAACATTGAACTGAAGCTATAGGAATTTAGTTGAAATAAAAATCAATTTGCTTAATCTAAGAACAAGTATTACACAATTATTCAAGTAACTAGATCAAAAATGGTAGATTTCGTGAACTAGTTTCGAAGTAAGTAATTGATATTCAATCAACAATCTGTGACTGATTCATTTGGAACCTATGAATGTTAATGTTTCAATTTAAATAATTTTGTTTTAAATTTAATGTCTATTCAACTTGAGATGACCTATGTGGAGAATGGTGATATGACAATGTATTTTTATCTGGAGTTAAATGAAAATTTGTTGCAGGGTTTGTATATACAGAAGAACCCATTTCAAAAAACCAGTGGGTACCGAATTTTTACTAATAAAACTACTGTCTTAGGTCATTTTTGGAAATTGCCAATGTTCGATAATTTCAATTTTGAAACTTCTCAGGTGCAAAACTGTTGAAAGTTGAAACAAATATACAATTTCGTGTAGTTGACTAAACACAAAACCCTACAAAAACCCAAAAATCCAATAGAAATGTTTCATATATAAAAATCAAAAAGTCAGTCAAAAAGGATCAATGTTTGACTCAGTTCACAAAAACATGTTTGGATTAATTGCAACTTTCAGGTGCATGTCAAAGATTGAAATCCCATCGGGCAATTTCCATTTCGGGCTAAAATGGAAATTGGTTTGGCGAATTTGCGGCATGTCCATTACATTAGGGCATTCGTACGTTTAGTTTCCATTAAGCCACATTCAGTGGTGCGAGATTTTTGAACAAAAATTGGCAAATTTTACTCCAACCAAGAACAAACTTATCCTCACATATATGAATGTGAATATTAAAAATAAAGTCCCATAAGTAAGTAGGTAATCTTGTTAATAACTAGGCGCTTCATTAACAAGCCGCAATTAATAATTACACTGTCTCGACTCTACTCCAATTAAAAATTAATTTTTGCAGGTGCTACTTATGCAATTTCCGATATAACGAAACAAACACAACAACTAACTAATCCCTTAGGCAACCATGGGTTTATTTGCCTCTCATTTATTCCCTCTTGTCGAATCTCATTGTTACCCCACTGTCGCCAGACATTGTCTGCCAGTTTCGAGGGATTTATCGATCTCTCCTTTTTAGGGGGGTTAAAGCACCCGCCGTTGTAAATATAACCCGAGGGGTGAAATTTACGAATTTAGGAAGCTGTAGTGGGATTAAGTATATTTTTAGTTTTTTTGTGCCTTATACACATAAATGTTCCAAATTGAAAATGGTGTAAAATGCAAGTAACTCTTCTTGATTTTGGGTTTACATTACAGGAAAATATTCTCATGCATCCTGATCCTGTGTCTTCAAAAACTGGAATTTCGATGAATTGTTGTAAATATAAATTGGTCGTTTCCATAAATAATCTACTAATAGGGTTATTGACGTCATTTGGAAGTTTCCTGAAAGTATTGCAATTTCCAAATTTCCAGAAAAGCTATTTTTTTATATTGAGACACATCTGTATTCATTTTGCTTATTGAATTATTTCGAATTTTCCCAAAATGTGATTCTACCAGAGTTGAAAGAAGCAAAATAATCCTTTAATTGCAATTATTGTTATTTTCGGAAATCATTATTCTTTATTGATACCAAATTCATCTATGCCACCTACACAATGACACACTGTTTGAATTTGTAATTTAAAAACTCACAAAGGAAATAAATTGCGCAAATAGAATAAGCTTCCATTTTTACCACTCTCAGATAATAACTCGAACATAAAAGCTCTGTTTGTTTATGGATGGCTGAATGTCGCAATTTTTTTCGTATATACGCTTTCTCTTTCCGCTAAAAAAAGCACACAATAATTCGCTAATATTTAAATTTTATTATCGAAGGTATCGTGTGCGTTAAGCTTCTATGATTGGTTACGGTGTAGGAAGCTTTACTGTTTTACGGTAATAATTTGCTAATAATAAAATTTTATGGGTTTTTTTGGTTGGCTATACTTTCATTACTATGAGTGTTGCGTCATAAGATTTAGAAAAAAAAACAGAAGCTGGCCCTGGATTATAAAAAGCAGAGGTTAAATTTTACCAGATATATGCTAGAAAGAATTGAGAAATATCTGGATTAGGGGGAGTTTTATAAAACTGTTTTGACAGATAACTAAAAGCTAACTTCTAGAATTACTATGAGAAGTAACGACATTTCAGAAGTTAACTTTTAGTTATTTTGTCAAAACAGTTTTATAATATCAACCCTAAATGCTGTGGGTTATTGAATCTAAGATTGCCACCAGTAATAGTTGCTCCGTAGTCGTATAGTTCATCTCTGCTGAGTTGAGGAGACGGCTAGCGTACTCAATAGGTCTCCCCTTGGAGTAGAACTGCTCCTATTGCATAGTCGCTAGGATAATAAATGGTAGTTTGTCATCTGCTTGTTTAAGGACTGGAGCGGTAGTCAGTGCCTGCTTAAGAAAACTGAAAGCCTCTTGTTCTGGTTCATTCCAGATCCATTTTAAATTTTTCCGAGTTAGATCTGTTAATGGTTTAGGAATTTCCGAGAAATTTGGTAGAAACTTGCAACACCAGAAATAGGTTTGAATAGAGGTCCACAGTTTCTTTAGGTGTCTAGCACTGGGAACATTTTTTATTGCTGAAATCTTCTCAACATCCATGAGAATCCTGCAACTGTACAACGTATCCAAGATACTTGATATTAGTTGCGGCAAAAGAAAATTTCTTCCAGTTGGCTCTTAGCATGAATTTTAGAAGCCTCTCAAATACTCTCCTTAAATCAACAAAGCGTTCCTGAAACGATTCAGATAATACCAGCAGGTCATCCAAATAGGCGAATACCATAACATTAAGGCCGCATTTGAATTTATCTATCAGCCTTTGAAATACTGCCGGAGCGTTCTTCAACTCGAATGGCATTCTTTTAAATCTGAACAAACCGGAAGATGTGATAAAGGCTGTCTTATCTGGATTCTCTTCGGCTACTGATATTTGCCAATAGCCAAATTGCAAATCTATTCTTGAAATGTATCTTGTTTGCTTGGTTCCTTCTAGCAAGTCGTCAATTCGTGGCATATAGGGTATTTATCGCTAATCGTTACGCTATTAAGTTTTTGATAATCTACACAAACTCTCATTTTGCCATTGGGATTTCAAACTCCTCGATTCTGTCTTCGGTCATTGTGGTTAAAACGACCTCCTTGACATAAGTATCCAGGGGCGTCAAACATAGAATTACTTCCAAAGCCCTAGTTGGTGTGGTTCTCATTGCACCAGTTGCATGTCATCCTTTGAACGTGGTCTAGTTTTTGGCTTATAATAGTCTGTTAGGCCTTATGTCCCCAGACAATAGCCCCATAGGTAAGCATAGGCCTGATGATTTCAGTCTTTTTGGAATTGATGGACAGACTATTCCGTGCACCATCTTTCTATAATTCCAAGAGCATGTTGCATGCGTTCGCAAAGCGAGTTCTCGAATTTGCCTCTATGCAAGATGACTACGTCATCTGCGTAAGCTATTGTGTAGTGGTTGTCATTGTTAGTGCTATTTTACGATAAGTATCGAGGCACATTTTGCCTCATAACTTTTGGCAAGAATCTACAGTTTTTAAAATCTCTAATTCAGTAAGTTTTTATGATTAGAAAAATCTACAGTTTTTGAAATTTTTGAAAACTGAGCATGCGTTACATCTAGAGATTGACTGATTTCCTCAAGATTTACCATGATTTCCCACGAGATCCTTAAGATTTTCCTTGATTTCCTTATAACTTCCCCTGATTGCTTTATGATTTCCTCGGATTTCCTCTTGAGAATTGAGAAAGCTACATGGGCTCTCATGGTGCGCCGAAACCTTGCAGGCAAAACTTGGGGATGCAAACCAGGGATCTTGAGATATATGAACACCATGATAGTAAGACCAACCTTACTATATGGATCGATAGACTGATTCAACGAAGTTGAGAAGCAGAACATAAAAGCAGCTTTCAACAAACTACGAGCGAAATGATGACTTGTTGAAAAAGAGAAGGACCGGGGCCGCATCAATAATATGATGAAATTCAATTCAATGAAACCGATATTTCAAGCAAAGGTTTTCAAGATATAACGCTTCAAATTGTATGTGGCAGGGGCATTTTTTAAACCAAAAGGCATACGTGTGTATACACAAAATCGCTGTTAGCTCAATTAATGTTTTTCGTATTTCATAATGAAATTAACAGTTTCGAATCAGAATTGAATGGCCTTCAAGATAGAACAGGTTTGAAACCGATATCTCAAGCTGTTTTCAAGATATGAGGCTTCAAAAGTGTATGTGACAGGGGCATTTATTAAACCAAAAGGCATACATGTGTTGTACAGAGCATTCAATTCTGATTCGAAACAGTTTATTTTAGTAAAAAATTTGAGAAATATTCATTGAGCTCTGCTTAATCCTCTGATATATTCATTTTTGGACAGGATTTTTCCATTTCTATATTGTACTTCCTTATATCTTGTCGAGTCTTCTACAATATACCTATCTC